CCCCCGGCAGGCCCGGTGTGTGCCGCCCTCGCTTGCCGGAGCTCCGGCCGGCGGTTCGACGCCGCCGCGGCGCGCAGGGCCCGGCGCCGCCTGCGAGGGTTTTCCCCCGAAATCCCCGTTTTTAGCGGCTTGCTGGTGCCTGGTCCCCCTCTCTCTGCGGCAAAGCTGAAACCCTCTGCGAGGAGGAGCGCCTGCTTCGCCTTAGATAAATGTCTCGCTCTAGGTATGGTCGTAAAGTATTAGCTTTTGGTACGTGCCATTGTTTTTTTTTTTTTTCTGTCGGGAATTGCTTATTACTTCTTAAACCACATCAGAACTATTTTATTTTATTTTGCTGCTAACCAGGTTAGCCCACTTCAGGACACTTAATGTTTTACATAACACTCCAAACCAGGAAAATGCTCAGGCAGTATTACCCAACTGGTTATATCAATTTCCTTTTTTTTTTTTTTTTTTCCTTTGGACTTTACAAGGCAAGAGGATAGAAATCTTTCTCTGAAGATTTGTGCAACATTTTCTCGGAGTCTATATTATACTTCTATGGAATCGTTAAAAAAAAGAATTACTTTCATTACTTGGGTTTTTTTGATAGTTTGTCACAATGTCTTGCATTTGTGAGGTATGTTGAATCCTTAAGAGTTGCCAAAACCGCCTTTCAGCAGGGCTCTTGTCCTGGAAGCAGCAACTGTGACACAGATGTGTGTTGCAGAATCCCAATTAATGAAATGAGGCCAAGCGAGGGCATGTTGGTCTGTAAGGCAAATGGCTGATTTTGCAAGACTAAATGGTCACACAAACGTATATGTTGGGACCACTTTATGGTAATACTAAAAAGCAGGTGCATGATGCTGTACAGGTTACAGGAAGTGAAAAGATGAACTCAGAAAATGTTTCAGAGGTGTTAAAATGTGACATGTTTGGGGGACAGAATAGAGTAAAAAGGTAGTGAGAGATAAATGTGTATTTAATGATTAACAGTGGGACTTCAGTCATGTGTTTGCCAAGAATATCTAAAAATGACTGTCAAGAAGTAAATGTACTTTCTTCTAGGCACTGTCAACAATCATGAACTAAGGTTACCTGTTCGTTTTACTTGAAGTCCAGGCAATTGTAATAGGTTAAGAATCATGTTTTTGTTAAACTTACGAGTGTGTGTGTTTATATAAACTCTGAGCAGTATTTTTAGATTTAGATAGAATTTCTAATGTTTATAAGATTGGTCATATGTATCTGAAAATGACATTGTCACTGTAGTGATAAGAAAAATAACCTGACAAGTTTTCCTTTTGATTTAAACAGCAAGAAGTTCAGAAACTACGTCAGAACTTGTTTCAGAAACAAACTAGATTGTTTCAATTTCAGTAATCCTAGATAAAATAAGATTCATTAGGAAAGATACATGGAAAAGTGTCTGTCTTGTGGAATTTTACATCTAACAATGCTCATCTTTTTATTTCATTGTTATGTATTAGATATCACAAAGAGGAATAAACTTTGGGTTTTATTAATAAACTAGCCAGAGTCCTATATCCTCGTCAGAATTTTTTCTCATTGCTCATGAAAGAAGATTAGAAAGTAAATGCTTCAAACATCCTAATGTTGTAGCGCTGTGAGCATATATTCTACAACTGTTTCATACAGATGACATTAGCTTCTAGTTTATATTCCCTCTGTCTTTCTCAGGTTGAATTATTGTTCACCTGGTGTTCTCCCAGTTTGTCTTGAAGTGTTTCTCTTGTACTTTTACTGTCAGCTCAGTGTACTTTGGCAAATGCGTAATTTTTCATTTGCTGAGTTCAGAAACATGATCTTTTACAAGCTATTGGGCTTGTGTTTTCCTGGCATGCAGTTTCTCTCACTAGATTTATAGATTTAGTTTTTAAAGTATTTGAGTAAATTTCTTTCTTATTGCCTGTTAGTGAGATTTATACACAGTACATAGACCTTACCAGTTTCCTGCACTTACTTCTTTCGTGGACCTCCTGTGTTCTCAGTTGTCATGAAGCTTTGAGGTCCCAGTGTGCCATCCGCTTGTTGGAGGTCCAGTTTCACCAGCTCTTTCAGCCACGCTTATTCTTTATCCAACTCAGTGGGATTTGTGCTGGATCCCTAAACACGTATCTTCACTTCCACATCTTCTTCATACTCCACCAGACTTTTTTTATTTAGGAAGACTACTTGAAAATGGGTTGTTTCTTAACCATTCATCTGCTGCCACTCTTGGTTCTTGGATGTAATAAATGTCAGTAATTCAGTCGTTTTCAGAACAACCTGTTGGGATATCATAGGGGTCGTGATTTAGAGGAAATAAACAGCTAATGTAGATGGCTTTTAAGTAACAAAGATACTGTTTTCCTGTAAATATATGGAGAGCAAAGAAGCAAGAAAGAAAAAAGAGAAGATCTTTGAATGCTTGCAGTTAGATCACAGCTGATTTTTATATCCTTTCACTTCTTTTGTTTGTTACTCATCATGCATCTAGGTTTGATTTGGAGACCTGATCTAAAGGACAAGGGTTTAGCAAACCTGGACTGGCATCTCTAAATTCTGTTTACTTAGCCCCAAGAGCCATGTTATACCCTAGTGTACTTACAGTCTTCCTTCTGAACTCTAAATCAAAATGAAAATGGTGTTGGTTTGGCCTGTTGTGTTGATTTTTTAGTTTGTGGTTTACTTGTTTGTTTGGGTTTTTTTTGCACTAAAAAGTTTTATCTCAGAGTTTAAGTAGTTCAAGTGACATTTCAAAAATTTTGAGCTTGTTCTACACTTGGAACAAGTTGAATTTGCAGTTGAACTTCTACGTTAGGATTCACAGACTATGCTCACAAGTGACAGACTATGATTATCAACTGTAGGTTTAGTCATTGGATGCTGTTTTGTGCTTGCTTCTTTGTGTATGTGCAGCGTGATTTGCAGATGAACAGACCTGAACAGCACTTGTTATAGACCTAGTTATGTTAAATGGTATTCCATGGACAAGAGCAAATGTTTGAGAAAGCTTTTCAGAATAAGATTGATTATTTTTACTGTTGTCTTTTGATATATTTTTGATATTTTAAATTGGTTATATCCTAATAGGTCATCAGGCCCAATCAGCCTATGGAGAAATAATCAGGAGAGGATCCCAGTACAGACAAAGGAATTACCTTCTTCTAGGAGAGAGTAGATTCAGTGCCTGTTGTGTTCAATCATTTTGATCTTTCTTCTATCAGCCATCTTTATTCCATTTCATTACTGATATTCCTATGGATTTCTCTATCATCCTTTTTCATAACTTAATGATTTATTTATTTTTCATAGTTACTAAAAGCTAAGGGTTTTTGAAGTAGGTGTTTGTGAAGGTACAGATTTAATCTTTTTGCTGAGTCTCCAGATTTCTGGTGTTAAATATATGGAATTTAATTTGGAAAAAGGGACCTTTTCTTCTACATTGGGTTTTGGGGACACAGAAATTAATTTATTTGCCTCTTCTACACACTTCCCTTGTGTTATATGTCAAGATACATGAGCCAGACATTTCTTGTGCCCATTCCATAAAATGATGCTAGTGTTTTTTACAATGCATTGAACTCCTTAGTTTTAAGGAGGTTTTCTCTATTTTGATATTAATTCCCAGCAAATATATATAGGTCCAAGTTGGTAAGTTTTCAAGTGTTAAACTACTGAGCAAGGTAGGCTGAAGATTCTGGTAGTATAGATGTGTGAAAAATCCAACTGTCTTTAGCATATAGTTTGTGGGCTGACAGCATTTCCATCTGCCTTGAACTAACAAGGATTTTAATTTTGTGCAATGAGCTGCGTTGCTGCTGAGTGTAAATGAAGTCATGGTATGAAATGCTAAGAGTCAGCACTGCTGAAAGCAATGTATGTTAAAGTACAGCATCTGTGAATACAAAGCTGCCCTTCTGGGACACTGTGCAAAATGATGTAACTGAGTGAAAAAGCTCTGCAAAAATATATTTCACTTGCTGTAATTGAGTGTCTTCGCTGCAATACCTTCATGAGGCTTGAGTATTAAGCTTTCTTGACTGTGCAGTGGGATCATATTGTATGAAAAAGCTGTTGATAATAACAGCTAGAGATACTGAGATTTTATTTTGCTGCCCTGCACCTGTGCTTCAGCACTGCTACAGAGAGGGAGCACTAAAGAAAGCCTTTAATGCTTGTGGGGTAAGTTTGCAAAGACATTAGCTTCTGAAAAATCCAGGCTGCCTTTTTAAAATGCTTAACTGTTTGTACACTTGTGAAAAGTTCAGATAATCACCTGTTTCCCTCTCACAACCTTATCTAGGTATTCATATCCCTGCAGCAGCAACATGATGTCAGAGTTTCATGAAAAGCACAGTGGAATATTTTAAACATTTTTGTTTTGGTGAATTAATTTCTGTTACTGCTGAAACTCTCTTAGTTCTTGGATTAAAAATCTTGTACTGGTAAAAGTGTTTGTTTCTGGAAATGTAACTGCCTTGTGCTGAGTCTCAAAGTTTTAGGTACTGTGGAATTTGCATATCAAGGAATTGGACTGTAGAGGTTGTTGCTACTGAAATAAAGTAAATGGTGTTCTTTGATAAATATGATGATGTTAATGAGAGGTGAAAGCAAGTAAGTAAAATTAAAGCACATTGAAGTAAAATTTTTAGTACTTCTGCATTACTACTAGATTAAAAATATTTGATAGTTTGAAAGTACTAGAAATGTTTGATAGTCATATCAACATGCTGCTGTGATAGCAGTGATATACTGCTGCTGAGACAAATCAAGTACTTAGCCACCTTTGCTTGCCATTATTATCATTAATATTCCAAACTAATGAACATTGAACTTAAAACTATGCACTAAGTCAGTCTGTCCAAACTGTGAATTGCTTCATGATTAAATCCTCTTTCAGACTGCACTCAGTTATAACTTGTATTGAATTTTTGGAAGAGCATGTATCAATAGGTGAGCTCATTCTTCTCATAACAAGTAGCATTTATGAGAAAAAAAGGATGGTTTTGTTTTGGTTGTGAATCTCAGTTGCTTATCAGTAACTTTAAAATACAGGTCATGTATCAGCCAGGTCATACTACAGGACTTTAAAGTAGCTTAGTTTCTAAAAAAAGATCCCTCTTGGCTATGTTAAACTAAAACCATCAACAATAGGATTCAAGTGCTGCTTAGATAAATCACTACCAGTTTGGAACAGGACAAAAATGCAATGTTATAATGCCAAGAAGTTATTTGGGGTTTGTTTTTATTTTTTTTTTCTCTTTCTTACTGCTAGGATTCCAACAGGAAAATTTTCTCAACCTTGTGTCTGGGTAGCTCTTGAGGATGGCAAGCAAAGGACCCACAACTTCTACATCAACAAAGAACTCCAGTACTGGAGGGACCAGTGGCAGCAGTAGCAGTAATGGTGCTGGGGACAATGCTAATCAGGACAACACTTTTGAATGTAACATATGTTTAGACACTGCCAAGGATGCAGTTATCAGCTTGTGTGGACATCTCTTCTGGTAAGTACTCAAGCCCCCACAGATAAACCAGAACACCATATACCTCTCTGATCACATAAAAGCCTATAATTTTTATAATTCTAGATGTCAAATAAAATGTCTTGTATAAAATGAGTGAGGACCATGGTTTTGGTTTAGGAGCAGTTTGGTTTTGCCCCTCAACTGTTTTTCTTTGCTCATGTTTCAGGGATTGGGTTTCTTGCATCTTAAACTTCCTGTATTTTTTGATTATTTTGTAAAAGCAAACAAAAAAGCAGCCCCACATAGACAGTTCAGTGTTCATTGGTACTGCTTGGTTATGTGTGTTATTTTATCTGTGCTGTCTGGTCTAGCATAGATATCTTGTTCAGACTGAAATTCCTTTCTAACCTATGCATACCCAAACCTGCATCTGAAACTAGGTTTGAAGACCAAATTGTAGTTTTCATACTTGCTGCAAGTTTGCTCTTTTTCCCTTTGAAACCATTAAAAAAAAAAAAGTTATATAACAAGCTTTTACATGTGGGCTATTTCTCTTTTCCCATGGCACTGCAGTTGTAATACTAACTTTTCAGTTCTTTGATCTGACCTGGGAATGTACCACACAAATACAATAAGCGTGCAGCATTTCTTATTTGAGTAACTTGGTCTAGAATATATTCTTTCTTGAACGTTAAGAAGTTATTAAGGATTGACATGGCCAAATGTGGGTTTTTTTTGGTTTATTTTGCACAGTAGGCTAAGTTATGCTCTTTAATAAAAAGGGACCTAAAAGAGCATTTCTTTTCTGTGTAAATGTATGTAACATCTGAAAATCCAGGGTTTTATTTTAGGAGGAGATGGAAAATCACTTGCTGATGGCATGTTAAGATAAAATAGCATGTATCTTGACTGAATAGTGTTCTCAAGACCGCTTTGAAAGCAGATGGCAGCTCAGCAGTTTTATCTCGTAGCTTGCTTGTTTGATCCTTTTTAAGTTGCTGTATTAATTTAATCTTAAGAGTAGTTCTGTATAATGGGAATTTCTCTGCCCTGAGCAATTGGGTCTGATCTGAATAGCTGACCCTGCTCTGAGCATCAGGTTGGACTAGAGGCCACCTGAGGTACTGTCCAGCCTGAATTATTCCATGATTCTGTGAATGCGGCCAATGTTTTAGCTAAATGTGTGTGACTTCTGTTAAGATTCTGAAGTCTCATTACTGACATCTTCCTCATTTACATCTTAGCTCAGGGATATCTTTTCATGGTATCAGAAGAGAAAATCTGTACAGTCAACACTAAGATTAATTAAGCCTCCGTATGGGCCTTTGATATGGATGAGGACCCAGGAATCAAAGGTGATATGCAGAGAATCACGTTAGCAACTTAGTTAGATTGCATAACCTGAAAAGACCAGTGGAGATCGGTCTTTGGCTGTGCTTTCAAAAATTATTTTAATGGGAGGTTATGGAACTGGCCCAGCTGGATTCCAGGATTGTTGTCTCCAAGCTGTGCTCTCTGTGGTATACATTATACATCTGTTGGATCGAGTTGTCGGTAACTAATTCCATTTTCCCCTCTTTTTCTGCCTGTGAACAAATTGTCCTGGGAATGCTTGCAGTTGGCCTTGTTTACACCAGGTAAGACAGGTTTCCTTTTACTTTGTCTTTCATCAGCTGCTGTTACTCAATAAAGCCCTTGGTTCTCTGGAGTATCCCCCTCTTTTCAAATGCGCTTCTTTCTCTGCAGGGCAACTGCAGTGTGCTAATGCAACTTCATGCGCAACACCTTGCAATCTGCTCTTTCAGCAAAAGAAAACTTAGGTTCTGTTCCACTTGCCTCCCACTTCTGAGTTGCTTAAACACTGAGTATTCCCAGTTTTGGTAGAATAACTGTAGGCAGTTAACAGGGGTTTAGTTTGCAGGCTGAAGTGCGAAGTGTACTTCTCTTTGCATATGTAGTGTTTTACGTTGTGGTACAATTATAGAAAAGATAGATGAAAGGAGGGTATCTACGCTAAACCTTGGCCTATGCAGGACCGTTGATACTGTTTATTTCTTCATATTTTACTCCGATTGCAGTTCTGAATGTGTACACATCGGCAAGTGGATTGTAGCAGAACAACAGCCAAAATGCTAACTCCACTTTGGAGAGTGTTTGGCAGTTATTAAAATATTTTGCTTCATGGCTTTCTGAGAAATTGCTAAAGCCTCTCTGCCTGACTGCAAATGAGGTTTGCATGTTGTTGTTTTCATGGTCTTTTATTAGTTTTCTTATAATCTCCTTTCTTTTAGTGGCTAGAGACCAGGCCAAACAGACAAGTGTGTCCTGTATGCAAAGCAGGAATCAGTCGAGATAAAGTTATTCCTCTGTATGGAAGAGGTAGCACTGGGCAACAGGACCCCAGGTAAGAAATCTAAATACAACTGTTTTTGTGTGAAAACTAAAGATGAAACTTTAGTTTAAGGTCTTAAGATGAAACTATCAAAAATGCTGGATTCACGATTTGAAATACTTTGTCAAAAGATAGATAGAACTGACGTTTCTGTCAAATATTTCTGGCTTTTTCAGGGCCTGGGTTTGCACACCTTATTTTGTGTTCAACTGGCAATTTATTTTAATTGGGATTGGGTGTTAATTATCAGTTACACGTGGCAGGTTGCACAGAATGTTATCTGACTGGAGAAGCTTATATAACATATTAATGTCCTCAGTTTCTAGCCTTTGCAATGGGACTTTGTTATTCAAATGTGCAGTATCTTAATTCAGCGATGTGATGCTGAAGGTTCATAAGCTGGGTGGTCCACTTGTTCACATGCTACCTCCAGTTCTGCTGCAGCATGGCCCTGTGAGAACATGTTCTGTGTTTGTTCTGTTTTATTAGCCAGGCTATTGCAGATACTATTGTCATGTGTCCTTGCACTTGAGCTAATTTCACAACTTCCTGCAGAGAGAAAACTCCGCCACGACCCCAAGGACAGAGACCTGAACCAGAGAACAGAGGGGTACGTGAAAAAACAAGCTGAAGCAGCTAAGTTGTTTTTACTGATCGTGGTATTTATTCATCCTGGAGGATATAATATGTACCTGAGATCCTGTGTGAGGACCCTATAGCTTACGTTTCTTGCTCGTCCCCAGTAGGTTGTTCATGAATAGTTGATAGCTGCGGTGTGGCAGAAAACTCCATTCCTATAGTCCTCTTTAGCATCCCAAAGAATAGGCTAACTTGAATCGTGAAAAAAGCCCTGTGTGGCATCACTGGAAATGCTCTTCATGCTTAATTGTTCTCCATATATAAATACAAGGAACAATTTGCTTTGAAAATTCTTTGTGGAAGTATATTTCTGTCAGACTATACCTGTCATGGAAATATATAATCCATGTGAAAACTTACTTTTTTGGCATGGACACCTGCGTCTAGCATTTCCATGGGATGTTACTGTACCACGGCATTACGAGCAAAAGAATGTAGATGTCTGTTGGATACATACTAATTTGAAGAGGGATCTGTGGTTTTGTTGAGGAGATTACATAGAGTGAATGTAAACAGCAGCTGGCATAGGCTGAACAGATGTGGGGCAGACCACAGCGTTCTTTAGCATGATGGCAGCGAGCATGACCTGATGAAACAATTGCCTATTTCCATGTAACTCAGCCTGGGGTCCTTGGAGAGCATTTGTATACCTTATGCTTCAAGCAAACAACTCCACTGGGTGTGATTAAGGAACATTTCTGTATTGAATGTATTGGGAGCTCAGTTGTTCTCTCTTGCTAGGGAGTTGCCTTCTTATTAAATCAGCTGCTGTACCTCGTTTGAACCTTTTAGCTGGTGCTGCTATAAGTCAGAGGAATCTGGTATGAAGACACAGCAGTAGTGATGCTGCCCTCCTGTTTCCTACAGGTGCAGGACCTGCCATGCAGAGTGCTTTGCTGTCCCTGATAGTTAATGGCAAAATCCTTGAGAGGAGTCATAGTTAAAAGACTAACTCCTCAAATCAAGGATCAACCCAGAAATGTCTGGCTTTTATTACATGAGTGAAATCATCTTTGTCCTCCCACTGTTTGGAGGTGATAGACCAGAGAGTTTTTCAGAATTGGTAGCCCTGTTTTAATTCTGAGACAAGAGGACAGTTTGCTGGATTGCTGAACATGGCAACTGTGAGCTCTCCACAGTTTTCAAACATGACGCAACTACTTAGATTCATATACAGTTGGGTCTCAAATAGTACACTGCTTTTATACAGTAGAATTAATCTTGATTCAGAAGATTGAGCTTTTGACTTGATATGGTATTTTAGTCTGAATCCCATAGGGGTCAATGTTGTTGCATTGTAACTCTTCCTTTTTTCCTCCTTTCCTTATGTCTTGCATTCCTGCCCCAGATGACTTTATCTGCCACCTTAATTAGAGTCCCCCTAGTAATTTTTTTTTGTACTGTTCTTCTCTATAATGCTCTATGCATCGCACTTACCACTTTACTGAATGTTTAAATGATGCACATGTATCATGAAAATCAATGGATATTATTTTTTTACAATGCCTTTCTTATAGTTATATGGCTAATAACTATTAATACAGAATTATTAATATATTGTTAAGACATTCTAAATAGAATTGGTAATGTTGATTTTGATATATTGTCAGATATATACTATTTTAAGTTGAGAAACGTTACAGAAACGCTTTTATTAATTTGTGGCCTTCAAGCAAGAACTGTTGTTCCTAGTTTTAATTTTCTCAGACTTTTGGGTTGCTCTGGTGAGTCTGCTACTGTGCGAAACATTTTAAAACCAAGAGAACTAAGAAAGTATTTATCAATAGTGGGCAGACTGAAAGTTGCCAGACAGCATGATACTACAGCTGTAGGAAAGCCAGTGAGAGGGAATGTCTGCGCATTTACAAAATATTCTGAAATAGGCTTTAAATGATTGGTACCTTTTTTTCTCTTCTGTTGCTTTGTTCTCTGCAGGGATTCCAGGGCTTTGGGTTTGGGGATGGTGGCTTCCAAATGTCATTCGGCATTGGGGCGTTTCCCTTTGGTATATTTGCAACAGCTTTCAACATAAACGATGGGCGACCTCCTCCAGGTACCATGCATTCTATCTTCTCCGAGGGTCCTGTCACAAACAGATGTTTTACAAACTCCCTTGTAACTTTTAAACAAATAGCCTGCTAAACGACAAAACTTTCTGAACAGTAAAGTAAGTCACTGTTGTAACTAGAAACACAAAATGAGGGAAAACATCCGGTAGAGAACATAGTCTATGGTTTACATGTTTTGTACAACTGCTTATAGAAGAAGCAAGTTTGTTACTTCCCTGTGATTTGCTGAAGGCCCTCCTGAGAGGACAGTAGAACTGGAGAGGGATGGTGGCACTGGAGGCTTCTCCCTTTTAATTCAGATGTCTCCTCTGGTACTCCAGCAGACTCCCTTTGAAAAAATGAGACAAATTGGACTAGAGTTTCTAATAATAATAAAAAGGAGTCAGTAGGGGTGTATGAAGGAGACCCATATTTTGAAAACAGCAGGAAAGGACCATTTCCTGAAAGATGAGAAGGAAAAGTTTAAACTGGTGTACATTCTTCATGTCACGCCTGTGTTGCCAATGACCTGTGCTGTCCTTGGGTCGAATTAACTTGCCTATTAACTATACTTCAGTGTCCACTGAAAATTTGTGTGGAGGTGTGACTAAGCTAAGGAATATGTAAATATGTGCTGTTGTAACAGCCATAATGTAACCAACTCCTTTATCTGCTTTTCATCTGTGGATTCAATACAGCAGTTCCAGAAAGGCATGGCTTGAGCTTTAGAGCTTGTGTGTTTTACAGTAGTTCTCTTGGTCAAGGCTACACATGCAGTTTTGACCGTTTTACCATTTCCTTATTCAGGCATGTTTCACCTTGATGGGCAGGAGTGCTCAGGCACAGGTGGTAAAGTTCCTTAGGATGGAAACAGTGAACTTAGCTCAGCAGTCAACAGTGAACTAAGCAGTGAACTTGGCTCAGCACTGTTCCCAGAAGTACTCCAAGCAGAGCTGCGTGTACTCTAGCACTTGGAGCTGCCTGCTGCTATTAGTCATGAGCAGGTTTACCACAAGTGCTGCTTCAGGGAGCTGATGCTTGTCCTCCTTCCGATCTTCTAGTATGGCTGGCCAGTCTGAGGGTAGGAAATAGCAACAGTTTCTCACTAAGTAGATTCCTTACATATTTTTCAATTTATGAATGTACTGCGTTCAGAATATACATGATTCTGGAGAAGAGGAAGGAGCTGAACTGGTTTTGTTTTTTTTACTTCTTGTTTTCCAGCTGTTCCAGGGACTCCTCAATATGTGGACGAGCAGTTCCTATCCCGCCTTTTCCTGTTTGTGGCTCTGGTGATAATGTTCTGGCTGTTGATTGCATAAGTCTTTTCCATTATTCTGTATATTCATGGCCAACAAGGCTACTGAAACAGTTACAAACTGCATCCCCATCCCATTTTAAACCTCTTGGTGTCTGGTTCCGTAGCTAACTATGGGCCTCAGGAATTGGTCATACCACAGCACAACGAGGAATCTCGCATTTTGCACCAGAGTTGGAAATTAAACATCGGTTAAAAAGCGTATTTCAGCTCGGCTATCTTGTACAACAGGTTCCTGCTGCAAACTATGGGCCTAGCTTTGAGCTCCGCTCCTAAAAGGAGTGCTGCTTTGAAATCCTGTGCCAATCAGTGACACCAGGTTTATGTGAAAGACAGTTGCCCCAAGGTAGACTGGGCAGGTAAGGAAACTTCTGCAGTGTGATCAGTATCTCATGCTTGGTAACCATGATGGATCTGCTGGAGCTGCGGATGTTATTTAATGTCTTCACATCAACATCCAGCCTTCTTCAGGAAGTGATCTGCAGCACTGCTGAGACTCTTTAGGCACAGCACGTGATGCAAGTGGAACCAGGTTTGGAGACTGGTTTCTTTTCTTGCTGTTATTTGTCGGCGTGATGGAAAACCCCTCCTGAAGTGATTCTAATGGCTGTTAGAAGAAGGGATACAAATTTATGCTGCAATTTTTTATAGCCTGAATTTGCTGGAGCCAGACACTGGAAGATTCTCTCGTTGTGGAGCTGGGTGGGGTTGCCGAACAGTACGATGCACCTGTCTGCCTCACCCAGCCCAGTTCCTCACTGACAAAACAGTGTTGTCTTCCTTGGTTCTGCGCAGCAGCCTGTGGCTGCACTTACGGATAATCCCCTCACAACCTTGTCACTGTAGCTACATTTATTCTTCCCAAGGCTTTGAGACTTTCTACGGAAGGTCATGTACTCCAAATAAAATCCTATTACAGATCTGAGATCAGCTTGTTTGGGGAGAGGAACAAAAGACATCTTTATGTGAGTTTTGAGGTTAAACTTGCCATACTGTAAAATTATACAGGAGGAAAAATGAGATCCTGCCTTTGCTAGCACGTGCCACAGTAGGAAACGTTTGGAAGAGCTGCTCTCTACGGGTGCATACAGCTACTCCATGCCACAGCAGAATGGCTATAGTGCAAGAGTCTCTGCGGTATCTACCAAAGATATTAATTTGAAGTGCTGGAGGAGACCACAACCATTTATGTGCTGAGGGGAAAATATTTCAGAAGGTGAGCACTCTGTAGCCCTTTTGGAATCCTGTTGGGTATACAGCTTTAAAGAGTACTCCTGATGTATTTGTGTAGATTCCTTCAGAACAGCAGATACGAGAGATTCCCTAGCAAGATGAACAGTTTTTGTATTTCTCTGACTAGGCAATTCCATTTTTTTTCTCTTATTGTTTTTAGATTATTTTGATTCAGATCACTGATAGTCATAATGATTTCCTGCAAGATCAATATTGTGACTCCCCTGGCAATAGACAGACAACTGACAAAACAAATGAACTCATAGAAATTTTGTTTCAATAGCTAGGGTTTTTCTAGTGTATGGATGAGGTTCCTGGCCAGGACACGTTAATTAATTGTTGTAGGAGCTTATTTATGTAATTATAAACTGTTCACTTTTACTATCAAGACAGAGGATGACTGAAGTTTAACTTGCCTACCTCCAGAATTCCATCTGGCAAGTAGAATGTTGCAAAGCTTCTGCAGTGTTTTGCCAAATTCATACCTGACTTGATGATAATCTGGCAGAATATATTGCTCAACTACAAATAGTTGAAGTGGTGCTTCAACTTTTGTTGTGTGACACTTTCGAGAAGCTTAACTTCTTCTGCATATGGTTCTTCTCAAGTGCGTAACTTCGTAACTAGGTAGGTCCCTTTCTAGGAGAAAGGCTATTTATTGCATTCTTAGAAGCAACTGGCTGTAGTACAACGTCGCAGCTTTGACTTCCTTTCATGAGCAGGCAGCACCACCTGCTGATGAAAAGGGAAAGTTCATGTCATAGTAGAAGGGATGGTTTTCCTTCTCCTTTTTGTATAAGAAACTCGATGCTAAGAGCAGAGGTTATCCAGGGAGGAGTAGGGTATCCCTTTAAAGCCTTTTTCTGATAAAGAGGACATTAAGGTGACTGTAATAGGTTCAAGAGGTATTGAAACTGATTTAACTAACATTTATGTTTTAAAATACAGAATTTTAATGACTTGGGTTTTTTTTTCATCTGTTGGTGAGAGACATAATGGATTTAGACGGAGGTGGCTGCAGAAACATGACTGAGTCTCCTTATTTTCTGGCAATCCAAAAATGAAATAGTCTAAAAGTGTTAACGCTTTCATTCCTACCTTTTTCTTGGTGTGCTTTTTTGTATCGTACCACTTCCCTTCCTTGTACTCAGACTGCACACAGCCCGTAATGGCTTGTTTAGTGCATTACCATTACTGTTCACTAATTTTCACTGTTGTGAAAGTGATTTAGAATTAAAAAATGGTTTTACATTGACCGGCGTGCGCCACCCTTCCTTTGCGCTTCGCGGACGGACTGAGGTGAAGCGCTGGCCCAGGCCCCTACATCCAGGACGAGGAATCCGTCGCTGGTGCGTGCCTCGGGAAGCGGCGGGG